CTTATTGGAATATAGGTTCTCAAAGTAGGTACTGATGATCCTCTGGCTTTCTGCTGGGTCAGTTGTAATTTTACCCTTTTCATTCCTAATTGAATGGATTTGGGCTTATTCCTTTCTTTTTTTGCTAAGGTTGGCTAAGGGTTTGTCAATTTTGTTTGTTCTTTCAAAAAACCAACTTTGCTTCATTGATTTTTTTGTATCATTCTCTTAGTGTCCATTGCATTGATTCCTGCTCTGATCTTTATATTTTCCTCCCTTATATGAGCTTTGGGTTTGTGCTGCTCTTCTTGTAAAAGCTTGAGGTTTCAGCATAAGATTGTTTAATTGAGCTCACTCTATTTTCCTAATATGAGTATTCACTGGTATGAATTTCCCTTTAATACTGCTTTCATTGTGTCCCATCGATTCTGATATGTTGTATTGACATTGTCATTTAATTGTAGAAGTGGTCTGATTTCTTCTTTAATTTCATCTGTGACCCACAGGTTGTTCAATTTCCATGTGTATATGAAATTCTTGTGGTTTACTTTGCTATTAATCTCCAAGTTTATCACACTATGGTCTGATAATATACAGGGGATAACTTCGATACCTTTGTATGTTCTTTTTTTTTTTTTTTGGCACCAGGGATCAAACTTGGAACCTTGTGCTTGTGAAGCAGGCAGTGGAACTACTGAGCAAAACCCCAGGCTCTCCCTTGCATGTACTTTGTATTCCATAAGCGAGTATATGGTCTATTTTTGAGAACAACCTATGTGCAGCTGAAAAGAATGTGTATTCTGATTTTGTGGGATAAAACACTCTATAAACATCTGTTAAGTTTATTTCTTCTAAAGTTTGAATTCTAGTATTTTGTTGTTTATTTTTTGTCTAGTTGATCTATTTGTGACAGTAGTCCCCCACTACTAATGTATTAGTGTTTATTTGATTTGTCATGTCCTTTAGTATTTGTTTTATATAGTTGGGTGCACTAGTGTTTGATGCATATATATTTATGATTGTTATCTCTTATTCTTGGATTATTCCCTTTACAAGGATTTAGTTTCCTTCTTTGTCTCTCTTAATCAGTGTTGGTTTGGAATTCACTTGGTCTGCAAAGAGGATAACTACTTCTGCTTTGTGTGTGTGTGTGTGTGTGTGTGTGTGTGTGTGTGTCTGTGTGTCTGTGTGTGTACCAGGAATGGAACTCAGGACTTTGCACTTTTGAGGCAGGCAGCGGCACTACTGATCTAAATCCATGACCTACTGCTGCTTTTTGGGGGGGTTCCTGTTTCATGGAGTATTCTTTTCCACCCTTATAACTTTCAGTCTATGAGTTTCTTTTTGAATTAAGTGTATTTCTTGCATGCAGAATATTGTTTGATCTTGCTTCTTGGCCCCATATGTCTTTTGATTGGTGAATTGAGACCATTAGCATTGATGGTTATAACTGAAATGCATTGATGTCTTGTCATGACTTTTTCTTTTTGTTGGATTCTCCCACTTTGTGTTTAATTTCTTGTCATGCCTGATGGATTCATTCTGCTGGCCTTCCTGGGGATGTGATCCAATTATCTTTTCCTAGGATAGTGTTTAAATTTTTTTGAAGTGCCAGTTTGGTATTCATGAATTTCCTCAGGTGCTATTTTTCATGAAAGTATTTTATTTCTCCAGCAATTTTGAAAGATAGTTTTGCAAAATTCTGGGTTGGAGGTTGTTTTCTTTTAGGGCTTGAAATACTTTGCTCCAGGCTCTTCTTGCTTTAAGGGTTTGTGCTGAGAAGTCTGCTGTGATTCTAATGGGCTTTTCTTTGTATGTGATATTTCTTTTCTCTAACTGCTTGCAGAATTTTGCTCTTCTGGTGGCTTTCTGAAATCTTAACTATTATGTGTATGTGTAGATTTTTTTTTTTTTGATCATGGCTAGTTGGAGGCCTGTATGCCTCACTTATCTGTATGTCAAGTTGTTTTCCCCTACTTGGGAAGTTTTCTTCCATTACTTCTGTGAACAGTTTTTTTTATGTCATCTGCACTCTCTCCTGTTTCTTCATTGACTCCGATCAGACATTATTCTTCTTCCCATCATTTAGCAGCTGTTGGATTGATTTATTCTGGTCCCTTACTATTTTTAAGAAATTTTTCTTTTCATGGTCACTAATTGCAATCCTATCTCCTATATCTGATATTCTGTGTCCTCATACTGGCTCATTCTTGTGCATAAACTTTGAATGGAGTTTTTAATCACCTGGAAATCTGTATCTGTTTTGTAGATTCCATTTGTTTCCTATGTTGGAATTCCATCATGTTGCTCAGCTCTACTTTTTTTTTTTTAATCTGTGTCTGATCTAGATTTATTAATCATATCTTGCACTGTTGGCACAATCTTGTTATCTGAGAGATTATTTCTCATTTCATTTTTTCCAGATTCTCTTTCATTGCCAGTTCAAAGAGTCCAGGTGATTGAATATCAGATTGTTCCATCTCATTTCCCTTTGAGGTTGCCTTAAGTGATCTCAAAGTCTGGTTATGAAACTTGTTTATGTGTCTTCTCATTTCAACAGATGCATCTAGCTGTGCCTTTGTTGAGGGAACTTTTTGCTCACTCAGTGGTCTTCAATTCTCAGCAAGCCACTGAGAAGCCTTTTCTCTGTTGCTCACCAGTGCACCAGTTCCTAGGTTCATAATGGTCACCTGGTGGATCCCTGAGCTAACCTGTTGTCTGGGCGGGCTTCTGGCTGAGGTATGTGCACACTTGGGATGCTATCTAAGTGTGTCTCTGGCTAGAGCATACCTGCTGTGTAGCTGTTGTCTGAGAGGGCCTTTGGCTGAGTAGTGCACCCCAGTCCCTGATGTCTGAGGAGGCTTCTTGCTAGGGTCTCTGTACACTTACCAATGGTACCGGGCAAGCCTCTGGCTGTTGCTTATACACCTGTGCAGCATTTTTTCAGGTGGACTCTTGGCTTGGGCCTGTGTGCCCAAGTGGCAGGGGTTGGGGCAGGACCTGCTTGAAGCCTCACTGCTCTGGTCCATTCCACTGCTCCCTGGAATCTGTGTGCACTTACCTATGGTTTGGGGCAGGCCTCTGGCTGATGCTTGTACACCTGTGCAGCTCTTTTCTGGGCAGGCCTTTGGCTTGCACCTGTGTGCCCAAGCCTCTGTAGTCCAGGGCGGGGCCCTGGCTGGGATCTACCTGCAGATGTGCCACTCTCATTTATGCTGGTGCTCACTGGGGTCTCCATCCATAATGTTTTTATCAGCCTAACTTTCTGTTAGATGGCATGCTGTGGCTGCATTCAGCACATTTTTTATCATACTACATAAAAATAAGAAAGACTTCCAGAATTGCTGTAGAAAATGGCAAGAACTAGATAACAAAAAACAGGGAGATAAATCTTTTTGCAAGAAGATCTGGGAATAAGACCAAAAGATGGGTGTGTACATAAAAATAATTAAGATGTATTATATACATACACTGTCTCCCCATGGTTATAATCCTATACTGCAACTTTACTAATAAAATAAATAATGTAAAGAAGCAAAAAAGTGGCAGGAACAATGAGATAATTCCGAGCAAAGGGGAATATTTTGAGAATGACAATGCATTCTTTATTAATTTTGTAAATTTAAACATTTACTATGTATCTCAGTCACCCCCTGTATACCCTTAGCCCTTTTTTTGTTAAGACCAGGTCTCACTGAGTTGTCCAGGCTGGGCTCAAAATTGGGATCCTTCTGCCTCAAGCTCCTGAATAGCAGGGATTTAGATGTGTCCCACCACATCTGGCTTGGTATCTATTTTAGAGAGTGATTAGTGATCTAATTGATCCTTTCTAAACTTTCTAACAGAGTGTGATGTACTCCAAATATATTGTTTCAGTTGGCCTTTATTTGTGTGTCTCTGAGTTTGTAGGAGATGGTAGTAGTGTGAAAAGACCATATCTTAAAAAGTTATGTACATATGTAAATTCTCCTATGATGAATGTGATCATTATGTATTGTAAACATGTACTAATTGAAAAATGTTAAGCCAAAACAAAAATGTCCCCAAAGTCTTACGTTTATGGAAGATGATTAGATTATGGTGATGCTACACTCATCCATTGATGAGTTCAGCCACTGAATATTCAAAAACAATTTTTTTTCCCCAAGTGTGGTAGTATATGCCTGTAAGCTCAGCACTCTGGGAGGCTGAGGCAGGAAAACTGCAAGTTTGAGTCCAGCCTAGGCAAATTAGCAACTTAGTGAGATTCTGTCTCAAAATAATAAAGGGATGGGGATGTAGGTCAGTATGAAGGCTCTGGGTTCAATCCTCAGTAAAATAAATGTTCATGATCAAATATTTTTGGCTCAAAACATAGATATACTTATAATCCCAGCTACTTTGTTGGCCAAGGCATGATTACAAATTTGAGGCCAGAATGAACAAGTTGGCATTTCATCCCCCAGGACTGCCAAGGAATGGGGCAGAGTTTAAATACCTGCTACTATTCTGGGTGACTCAAATTAATTGAATGTTTCTGAATGCTTCTGCTTACCAGAGCCACCTTATTTAATGAAATACTTTACACTTTTGGGGGCAATTTTATAAAAGATCAAATCACAAATCTTTCAGAAATCTAAGAAGACAATGAAAATTGTGGATCAAATATGTAATATTTGTTTAATACTAAGGCATACATTTTTTAAATAATGAGATAATTCATTTGTATGAGCTTTTACATAAATGATGTATACACCTGTATTTTTACATGTATGGTGCACTTTACATGTATGGGTTGAACCCAGATCTTGCCCTGGGTATCCTATGCAAGTGCTTTACTGCTAAGCTTTACCCCATCCCTTAATTGTATTTTTTGAAGTTTGTTGTTGCTGTTGGTTTTGGTTTGGTTTCTAGAGTGGTTGACATATTTGTTAAATTAAATGTTTAGGTATGAGTCAAGAACTCAGCTCGCAATTAAATAATGATTCTATGGTAAAGTAGTTTTCCTTCCATCTTGATTTGCTTTATGATCTGTTTTCCAGGTATAAATCTTGAAACCATAGCTGCCCTGACCACAGTCACCAACAGAAAAATAGAAAGGTGAAGACTGACTAAGCCAGTTATTTTGACCATGTGGAGAAAGGACTAAGAGTAAGCAGAAACTGACATTGTATAGAGCAGAGTGCCTTACAACACTCACCTTAGGACAGTAAGTGCCATATGAGATGATCTCTTCAGCACCAAACTGTAAGTATCTCTGGGGACTCAACAGTGGAATGGGACAGTGGTTTCTGTTGTCAATAAAACTGTCATCATTTTATAATTTGTGGCTTGCATACCTACAGGCTAAGATAGTACACTTTATTGGCTGTAAGAATTTAAACCAAAATAGAATGCAACGTTCCCCCAAAAGTAACCTGGGATCTGGGCCATCAGAACTGAGGCAAAAGTTACATAAAATTTGAATAACTAGGTTAGAACTAAGTTATTGGGCCTTTGCCTGGAAAACCAATTAGAGGACTGACCAGATAGGGAGATATCATAGCCTGTTGCAATGGAATAATTTTGGAAATGAAATATGGCAATACTATATGCAGAAATTTCTAAGAATTCAAAGTCCAGTAGCAAAGAAGTTGGGCATGTGACTATCCTAGTAAGTGAAGAAAACTTCAACAGAATAGTGGCAAAAGAATGGGGTGAAAGAATAAATTAACATTTATCAATGGGGAGAAAAACTGAAACATCATGATAGTTTGGATAAAGACAGGTATAAAAATATATTTTCTATACTAAAAACAATGGTGATATCACTGAAAGAAGGAAAGTGAAGATAAGCCATGAAGAGACATTGCAGCTCATTCTTGTAATACAACATTTAAACTTATATTCAGGCATTCAATTTGAAACGCATTGATTAAAGGTTACTGGTCATACAGAACTGGAATTCTATGTAAAAGTTTAGCTGAAGAGGTATACTTGGCAGTTATTCACATAAAGCCAAAAACAGTAGACAAACTAACTGAAGCTCTTTATTAAGAACAGTGTATCTTTTTCTTTAAAAAAATATGAGCATATATTTATGTAAATAATTTTATTAGTTTAATAAATTTTTTCAAAATTGAATTAAAATTCTCCTTTTTTTTTTCCTTAGAGTGTCATTGAAAGTTTGTGCCTGTAAGAAAATCCCTATACTTGTATGAGTTATGAGGGTCAATGACTAAAATGTGTTAATACTCATGAACTTTATCTTCTTTTTTAATAAAACAAAGATCTTTCCTAGTATTAGACTGAGGGAATGCAACTGAGAATTTAAAGTCAAATAATTCAGTCAGTTAAAACTATAAAATGGACATGGCTTTAATTTGTCAAATGGAAAGGCAAGTAATTGAATCGGGGGAAGTGTGCTGGTCTCCAGTTTCAAGAAACAGTATAGCACAAAGATCTGGCTGAAGAGCTATAATAATAAACAGAAATTTGAAAACAGGAAGACAAGTTTTCCAAGAGTGCAACTGTGGCATTTTAAAAGAGATTTAACAAGAAATTCCAGAAGATGGCCAAAAATAGGTTTAGATAATTGAGATTCCTTATTTGAATACTTGTTTTTGATGGAGAAACACACTTTAGAGGAAGTGAAGGTTCTAAGGTCTGAAAAGTTTTTTCAACATAAATCAAGTTTACTTCTGAAGAAAACTAGTAGCCAAAAAAATCAAGTAGGAATTCACCATTGCTTAAATTTTAGGAAGTTAGAAAGTGACCAGAACAACAAATTTTAAAAATGAATTGAAAGCAAATATCTTGGTTTTTACTGTTAGATAAAATTCCTTTTTATAAAACTAAAGTATCTTGCTGTTTACCCCATTATTATTTGCCATGAAAAATAGCCTTCCATCATTATTCTACATCTTTGATTTTAATGATTTGTAAAGAAACCAAAAATACTGCCAAGTGTGGTGGTACACGCCTGTGATCCCGGCAGTTGGGAGGCTGAACCAGGAGGATTGCCACAAGTTTGAGGCCAGCGTGGGCTACATAGTGAGTTCAAGACCAACCTGAACTATCTCAAAAAATAAGAAAGAAACCAAAAATGTTAATCCTTATTTTCAAAATAACCCTTAAAAACTTTAGTAATATGTCCTCTGGATCTATGAAGATGTTTGGGTATTTTACATTAATCCCTTAACTACTTGATTAATACAAGTTTGTTGAACCTACAGCCTCAAGTTGGGGTTAACCAGAAATGGGAATCTTTTTTTTTTTTGGTCCTAGTTACATCTCACTTGCATGGGTGGTGTGTTGACTTCCATATTTTCCTGACTCCTAAATTATGGAGGTAAGTGAAGTTTTAATATCGATTATAGCCATGAGGCACTTATTCTGAATTTGTATTCTCTCTTTTTTAATTACTTAGCATTTTTGTAGCATTGTGTTTTTATTAACAAATTATGTATATCCCAATCATGGCTACACTGTCTTACTGTGCTTAATTGTATAATTTTGTGTAACTTCCAGTGAGTTAGGATTCCTATGTACATCTATATTTTCATCTCATTTTGGTATGGAATTATCCAAGTAAATTTGTAAGAGAAAACAGCATATTTTTTGTAGTCTGTTACTTGAGTCAGCTCTTCCAGACTGGATTATATAAATATTCTTATCTATCTTTGAATCTACCATAATTCTTGTTTTTCCAAGTATCTGTTCACCAAGACTATAGCTTTCCAAACATTTCAGTTCAGTTAATCTTTAGGTACCAAACATGGGGGGTGGGGCTATAAAGCACTATCTAATTTTTATCTTAAAAGAATTCATGGAACCTGAGACATAACAATCAAATTTCTTTGGAGTCTTTTTGTTGTGGTGGTGGTAGTGGTGGTTGTTGTTATCATTGTTCTGGGAATTGAACCTAGAACCTTGCTCATGCTTCCCAAATGCTCTGTTGCTGATTCACCTTATGAAAAAGGTAAATCAAGCCTACTTGGGAACCTAATGACAATTATGTTCTTTACAGAAGTGTTGAGAAATTATGAGGAGTGACATGGAGTACAAAGAGTTTGTATTTGATATGTTCTACACAGCCAATATGGTAAGAAGCTATTGTCTTAACAATTTCTGGATTTGAGTTATTGGTATGAAATCTGAAGGTGCAGAAGACTGCCCACCTAAAGGCCTTGTACAGTTAGAGAAGTCTTAGTACATTTTAGTTTTAGTGGCCAAGTCCCATTTATTTTGCTCCATGTTTAGTTCCTTTTTTATTCTGTGCTATGCCTAATGCTCATTTCCTATTTGTACCCATGTAAAGGTTTTAGCTTGTTGTCCATTAAAACATTTTTGTGGGCCAGACATGGTGGCTTATAATTAGAGCACTCAGGAGACAGACAGGATCACAAGTTAGAAGCTAGTCTGGACTACATAGTAAGGTGCTGTCTCAAAAAGCAAAACAAAACAACTGCCCCCAAAAGATTTTGTGTTCTCACAGTTTAGATAAATGCTGTGTAATAACTCATTGTAGATGATGAGTATTTTAAGAAATTTGTACATAACTTTTCATCTTTAATTGTCCCAGTGGTAGGCATAATATTTCTTGAAGTATAATTCTATAACAAAATTGGTGAGTAGTTGTGCTTTTTACTAGCTTAATACTCCAGAAATCCACATATTGTTAGTAATATATTTTCATCTCTTCTCTGTATTTGTTGAGTTTTTTTGCTTTAAAACAACAAGTTTAATGCTATATTGCTCTCTCCTGTGAGTTATTTGGCTCCAAGAAGGTAATAAAATTTCCTAAATTTAATTTTTAGAATTTCCTTAGTAGCTTCCAAGTTGCTAAATTTGCCACTACAGGCAACTTCCTCTACACATACGAACTTTAAAATGTTCTTAGCAAATCTTTATTACCCTTGCACAATCTCTGATGACATATATATATATAATATAT